AGGACAGGGCCAACACAGGGTTAGTTACAGGGTAAAGCTCCCTCTACATTATCCCCCATCAAACACACCCAGGACAGGGATAGGGTGGGCTCAGATACAGAGTAAAGCTCCCTTTACACTGTCTCCATTAATGTCTCCCAGAACAGGGACAGCACATGGTTACATACAGAGTAAAGAACCAATTGTTGGCTCAATCCAAGTCACAAAGAAATGGTTCTAATTTGTCTTTTCCATATCTCTGAAGCTATTATGACCTCACTGGTGTGGTTGCAAGTTTAGACCAATAATGTGCATTTAATTTTTCTGTACCTTCCCCGTCACATCTGACATTTTTTCTAGCGAGCTATTACAACTCTGGATTTGGAGAAAAGTCTTCCTCGGTGTCTGAGAGCCAGGTTTCGTTCAGGGGAGCCTGTCACTGTGGGCCTGCTCTCTGATGGAACAGAAGACCTGAGATGGTGCTTCAGGTAGGCTGGAATCAAGCTATGTGGCAAGAAATTCCAACTTTCACTCCAAACGCTTTAGTGCAGACCACAACAATTGCTATCACTTGGCAGGCTCCAAATGGTGGTCTGTGAGGAAGCACTTCATCATCTGGAGCAAGACTTTAATGTCATCTGTGGTCCAAACTGGCTACAATTATCACAAGCTAATTCATAGAATCATAAAAGCATGGAAACACACCCTTCGATTTAACCAGGCCATGCCAAACCTAATCCCAAACCAAATTTTTCCCACCTGCCTGCTCCTGGCCCACATCCCTCCAAACCTTTCCAATTCATGTACTTATCCAAATGTCTTTAAAATGTTGTAATTGTCCCCACATTCACCACTTCCTCAGGAAGTTCATTCCACACGTGAACCACCCTCTGTGCAAAAAGTTTGCTCCTCGTGTCTTTTTTTAAGTCTCTCTCCTCTCACTTTGAAAATATACACCCTTGTCTTGAAATCCCCCATCCTAGAGGAAAGACAGCTACCACTGACTCTATCTATACCCCTCATTATTTTATAAATTTCTATAAGGTCACCTGTGAACCTCCTATGCTCCAGTGAAAAAAGTCCCAGCCTATCCAGCCTTTCTTTATAACTCCAACCTTCCATACCCAGCAACACTCTGATAAATCTCTTCTGAACCCTACCAAGCTTAATATTAGCCTTCCTATAACTGGGCGACCACAACTGGACACAGTATTCCAGAAGAGGCCTCACCAAAGTCCTGTACAACTTCAACATGATGTCCCAACTCCTCTGCTCAAAGGATTGAGCAATAAAGGTAAGTACGCCAAATGCCTTTTTAACCTTCCTGTTTTTATATGACACAAACTTCAAAGAATTATGTACCTGCACCCCTAGGTCCCTCTGTTCTACAACATTACCAAGGCCCTACCATTAATTGTATAAGCCCTAGCCTTGTTTGTTTTACCAAAGTGCAATACCTCAAATTTACCTAGATTGAACTCCATCTGCCATTTTTCATTTCTGAACTCACTTTGTAAAGAATTCCCTAAATTGATCATTTTGTCTTGCTGGGGAGATCCACATTCTGCTGCAAAATTAACTTCAAGCCTGAGAAACTCCTCAGTGTCCCGAATGATTCAGTCCTGAATGTGTTAGTGGGTTGGCAGTGGCTGATTTGGTCAGACTCTCACTTCAGAGTAAAATGTTTGTTCATGATTTAACTGGATTAATCCTGGATTAATGAGAGGAGTGATGCACTGTCAGAAATGCCTTCTTTTACACAAGATGTTAAACTGAGGCCCCAATTTGGCCTTTGAGAGTTTGTAAAGGATTATGTCGCACTATTTCAAAGAGAAGCAGGTGTGTTCTCCCTGCTGACCGGGTCCAGATTTATCCTTTTGTCAACATTAACAAGGTAGTAGGTTCTCTGGTCATCGTCATCCTGCTGTTTGTAGGAGCTTTCTGTGAACAAATTGGCTGCCCCCTTCCCTACGTTAGCAGTGACTACACTTCAAAAGTATGAGTGAGCAGTAAAGCATTTTGGAACATCCTGAGGTCATCAACGCAAGGAACAAAAGCAGAAGTTGCTGGAAAAGCTCAGCAGGTCTGGCAATGCCTGTGAAGAAAAATCAGAGTTAATATTTTGGGTCTGTTCTGAGGAAGGGTCACTCGACCAGAAACGTTAACTCTGATTTTTCTTCACAGATGCCGCCAGACCTGCTGAGCTTTTCCAGCAACTTCTGTTATTGTTCCTGATCTACAGTATCCTCAGTTCTTTTGGTTTTTATATCAATACAAGTTCTACTTTCTTAAAGGAGCGTGAATCTATTCTGACATTCAGTTAAATCATGGCTGATCTGTAACTTAACTCCAATTTTCAGCTTGACTCCATAACCCTTGCACTGTGATGGAATACTCCCCACTTGCCTGGATGGGTGTAGCTCCAATAACACTCAAGAAACTTGACACCATCCAAGATAAAACAGCCCGCTTGATTGGCACCACATCCACAAACATCCACTCCCTCCACCACCAACACTCAGTACACACTGCTGCTACTATCTACAAGATGCACTGAAGAAATTCACCAAAGATCCTCAGGCAGCAACTTTCAAACCCACAACCACTTCCATCTATAAGGACAAGGGCAGCAGATACATGGGAACACCATCACCTACAAGTTCCCTTCCAGACAACTCACCATCCCGACTTGGAAATATATTGCCATTCTTTCACTATGCTGGGTCAAAATCCTGGCATTCCATCCCTAAGGGCATTGTGGGTCAACCCACAGCACATGGACTGCAGCGGTTCAAGAAGGCAGCTCACCACCACCTTCCCAAGGGGCAACTAGGGATGGGGAATAAATGCTGGGTCCAGCCAGCGATGCCCACATCCCATAAATGAATTAATACAAAAGCCAAAACAAAGTTCTATCAAAGTCAGTTTCAAACAATACGACAGAACTGTAAATCTTTTAATAGTCATCTTCTGGGATTAGTATTCGTTCTTAAAGGATCCTTTGATCCACCCCCAACAAGTAATCAACAGCAGTGTGTAATCACATTGTCATTATATTTAGAATTGCTTATATGTTGAGTACAACTGACACCGACCTTCACAGTTTGCAGTTCATTGTGGTGCTGGGGAGGGAGGGAGGAAGAGAGATGGAATGTCAGCAATGATAGGACACTGTCCCACACCATCCTGCACAGGGTCGATGAGGTCAACTGGACAAAATGGAACACAAACCTTGGGCTCATCAACGAGGAACCAGGAAACTCTGAAATCATCAGACAGAAAACAGGGAGCAGAGGGCGAAGACCTCGCCGAGGTAAGCAAACAAGCTGTTTTATATCGGAATATCATAAATTCCCAACCGCACTGTTAGGATGATGGATCAATGTTCCGACCACTCCTACTCCTTAAGGCCCTCCGTGTACTGTGCATTCATTGGTTAAGTCTTTCGCTTCCCCCCCGCCCAGCACTCAGATAGAATGAGACTGAATGTGCAGCAGAGCTGCGAACATGATTGTCACAGTGTTTCTGATCTCGTAGGTCTTCTCCCAGCCTCTCTCCATCTCATCCTGTCACCATTTCCCCTAATCGCCTCTCCCTAAGTGTTTATCCAGCTTACATTAACAGAAGTGGCAGGTTACCAGCTAGGATTCTGTATTCATCACAATCTCAGGCAGTGAGAAGCTTTGATAGAGTAACTGTACCAGAGGGAAGGGGCTCTGATGGTGTAACTGTACCAGAGGGAAGAGGCTCTGATGGTGTAACTGTACCAGAGGGAAGGGGCTCTGATAGAGTAACTGTACCAGAGGGAAGGGG